TCGGGGGGGGGTCGCGCGGGGCCGGGGGTGTGCGTCGGGGGGTCTCTCGGCGGCCCGCCCTGAGGCCGCGGGGGACCGAGCGGTGCCCGTTCCTGACAGACTTGTGCCGCCCCCAGCTATGCCCCTTGGTGTCCCGCCTGCCAGAACCTGCAGCCCGAATGGGAGAAGTTTGCCGAGTGGGGCGAGGACCTGGAAGTGAACATTGCCAAAGTGGATGTCACGGAGCAGCCGGGTGAGAGTCTGCGGGGAGGGCCGGGCGCTCCCGGCCGCCTCCGTGCCCTCGGCCCTCCCAGGGCCCGGGGAACGCGCGGTGCCGGCCTGTCTGCTTTTAGAAAACAAGCAGAATCAGTAGGAACAATAAAGATCTCTTCCTGATCTCTTCTGAAGGCAGATTGCTGTACGCAGACCAAGCAGTCTAGTCTTTCTTAAGAGAGAAATGAAACGAGGGTTTCTCTAGAAAGTGACTTGGAGGATTTCAAGGGGGTTTTTGACCTTACTTTTTAAGCATCACACAGAAAAAAAATGTGGTTTCAGCCTTCCCTGTAGCAGTACTCCCCAAAAGGGAGTGCAGGCAGGCTGGTCTCCCTCAGCTGAAGCTCGCTGCTCTGAATTGCCCTCGTGTCTGTGTGGGGTTTGTAGAAAAGACCTTCTCCATGTGAGTACTTTTTTCCAGAGTCACATAAGAACTTTTGAAACTTGCCTCGCTTGGATTATTTTCTGGAAGCGCTGGAGGTTGCAGGTTGTGTGGGAAGAGAGGAGAGCGTCTCTCTCTGGAGAGCTACAGCCAAAATAGTCAAGTAGAATGGTTATCCCTGGGCATCTCTCTTTCCCCATGGAGAAATTTTCTTGCTCTTTGTCCAGGAACTCTTCTTTCAAACTGTGTGTATGCACAGGTTTGTGTTTGATCACAATTAAAGATTGATACCTGAGAGCAGCTGTTTCTGTTTCAGTGTATAATAACATATCTTGCCTTTTCTTATGTAAGTGCTCTGCTATTCTGAAAATAACTGTTTTCTTACAGGATTAAGTGGACGATTTATCATAACAGCCCTTCCTACCATCTATCAGTAAGTATGCAATGCAGCAGGATTTTTTGGAGGAGAGGACTCTTTTTTTCCTTTTTTTGGGGGCAAACACATGAGATTTACTGTGCTCTTTAAGAATGTGAATTACTTTACACAGAGACAGCCACTGTCTTACCTGCTCTGACCTTACAATAGTGCCAGATGGTTTTTTTCTCTTCCCTTCAGGCCTTATTTATTCTCTTTTCATGGGTGTTTCTGTTTTGCAATCTTTTCTCTGTAGGTTGATCTTAATACAGTTGTGTGGCAAGTGCATTAGGAAGATGGTTATCTTTTTATGGAATCGCAACCTAAAGCTAGCCAAGATACACGTGGAGTCAAGAGTCTAGAAATACTTGTAATCAAGTTTTTCGGAAAACATTTTAGAGCCAATATCATCTAAAGCAAAGTAAAATTAAAAAAAAAATAGGCAAGGGGATGGGAGGGAAGATGTTGAGTGGAAGCAAATGCCGCATGCTTGGACTGTCTAAAATAAAAGATGTTTTTTTGTCTTTGTTTTACAGCTGTAAAGATGGAGAGTTCAGGAGATACCAGGGTGCAAGAACGAAAACTGATTTCATAAATTTCATCAGTGACCAGGAATGGAAATCTATTGAACCGGTTTCATCATGGTTTGGTCCTTCCTCTTTCCTGTAAGTTTTGCTATGATTTTTATAATAAATTGTTGTCAAATGTGCGCACTTTAAGGACGTGCTGGGACAGGTCCTTAGGTGTGCTGCACCCGGTGCTGCCTCCTTGCTAGCAGCTCACGCAGCAGCTCTGTGGTGGTAAGAAGTATGTGAACGTGATGGGTGGGTGGTCATGCTCCTGCGTCTGCTGTGGGAGGGTTGTGTGCGCTAGCGTAGCAAAGATCTTCTGAGCAAGGCTTACTTTAAGGCTTCAAATAGTTAGAGGTGGCTGTATTGGTTTACTAAGCTCTTGTAGGTCATTTACTGACACTTGAAGTTCTTTTGTTTATACGGCCAAAAGATGTTTTGCCCAGCTAAATTCTAGGAAATTAGCAATAAAAACTGGAAAATAATGTAGCAACGTAGCTGTAAGATATGGGCTGGCCATTTACGAAGACATCTGTAGCACAGTTAAAAGCAGAGTGGAAGGGTGAAGGAAACCTTCCTTTGTTGAAGGAAAAGTGAAGTGGGGAGGCTCTAGTCTGAGAAGAATCACGCTCTTTGGAATTCTTTCTAGTTTTGTGGCTTTGAAGTGCTTTTAGTTGTTGCGGCATGTGCTGTGTGGTGGTTTCAGAGTAGCTGAGTAACTGTGAGTGATGAAGCGTGTTGCAGACGCCGTTGGTGGACGCAAATGAACCCAATTGTTCATGGTTTTTCTTCTGTCAGAGCAACGATGGCTGTGCTAACTGCGCTGTAGCAGTGTTCTGTTTATGAAGCGTTATGCCAGACTGAAATTTTACATTTTTTGTGGCTGTTCTAGGAAGTTCGGCATTGTTAACTTTGTTGAGTAGCAATGCTATTTGAATCTTCAAACCGTGTGGTTGATCTCCTACAAAGTATTAGCCCATGCCAAGGAAGGTGTGAAACAGGGTCCTAATTTTAGGTTTAATAAGTTTTCTATTAGAAGTGTACAGTGCCAGCTCCATTTTTTGTGCGTACTGAAACAGTATGCAGGCTGCTTCTACGGCTCCCTCATTAGCAACTTAGGTTGGCTTAATGTTTCAAATTCTCCTTTCCTTTGCACGTAGTGAATACTTAATGCTGCAGTTTCACAATAACAGGGAAATGTCAGAATCGGCAGGATATACATGGCAGATAGCCTGGTCTTTTTCACTTGTATGTAAAATATGGCTAAACTTAAGTGTCTGACAGTCTCTCAGTTCTTACAGAACCTGATTTTTTTACGAGGTTAATTTTTTGTTTTAATAAAATCTCCAGATGCTTAGTTCTTAATATCTTGAATAAAGCTCGAGCTGGCTTCTCGTAGACTGTTGGTCCAAATATAACTTAGAACATAAAGGAGAATAACTGAAATTCATACGTCAGCAGGTCCAAGTCAAGGAAGGTTGTGAATTCGTAGCTGTCCATATGTGGAACGTTAGACAAGCTGATGTTGGTACTGAAGGTAGCTTCGTGGGAAATGAGTGTTTATTGAAGTAAAAGACAAAACAGAAGATAAAAATCAAAGTGGTTAGAAGGGAAACCAGACATGAGCAAGAACTTGTTCAACGTGGGACTAAATAATGACCAGTCAGGCAAAGCAGAAGTTACAGGTATGCGACTGGCTTAAAGATGTTTTCAGTGACTTTTTTCTGCTTTGTTTCAGGATGAGCAGTATGTCAGCTTTGTTTCAGCTGTCAATGTGGATCAGGGTATGTGCTTAGATCTATACTTTATTTTATCTTAACAGACATGGTATTCAGCTATTCTTGAAATGATTCTCTTGTCTTTTCTTCCAGCACTGCCATGGGTATTTAACAGAAAATGTTGGAATACCGGTCTGGGGCTCGTATGCTGTTTTTGCGTTGGCAACTCTGTTCTCGGGACTGATACTGGGACTGGTAAGTGAAGCACTTGAAACAGATCGGCTTGTGACTACTGTGTATTACACTAATGCCTCCTTTGCTTCAGCCTTTCATAGTCAGACCAGTTGTTCTCGGGGTAGCCGGCCCCCTGAGCTGGAAGACAGGGACGGGGAGCAGAACGAAGTCCCCATAATCCATGGGGAAATGGTTGGTGACCTGCTGCACCACTTAGACACGCATAAGTCTATGGGGCCGGATGGGATCCACCCAAGGGCACTGAGAGAGCTGGCAGAGGTGCTCACCAAGCCACTCTCCATCATCTGTCAGCAGTCCTGGCTCACCGGGGAGGTCCCGGTTGGATGGAGGTTAGTAAATGTGATGCCCATCTACAGGAAGGGCCAGAAGGAAGATCCTGGGAACTACAGGCCTGTCAGTCTGACCTCGGTGCCGGGGAAGGTTATGGAGCAGATCATCCTGGGTGCCATCACGCAGCACGTACGGGGCAACCAGGGGATTGGGCCCAGTCAGCATGGGTTTATGAAAGGCAGGTCCTGCTTGACTGACCTGGTCTCCTTCTATGACAAGGTGACCCACTTAGTGGATGAGGGAAAGGCTGTGGATGTTGTCTAC